TTTTTGGTTGCAGCCGTCATTGTTGTTTGGCGGGCCCGGGCTGGGGATTTGAACCCGCCACCTTAGGTGTATGTGGCTGGCGCCTTAGCCGCTTGAGCCATAGGCACTGAGCTGAGGCAGAGGTTTTTTAAAAAAGCCCCTGATTTTTTGTCTATAACAGTACTTGGCATTAAAGGTCAGCAGAGATGTAGGCTCAGGGAATTATGGGCAACATATCTTGTTGGAGGAGAAGATCTAAGTCTTTCCAGTTTTGTCTAGGGACCTCTGGGTGAGAACTGAGGATGAGAATGCCCAGATAGATAGTAGGCATAGACTCACACAGATGCTCACACCTGTGTTTTCACTCTCAGAGAGGCATCCAGCATTACACGTGCACTTGTGAGCTCACATACTTAAGCCACAGAAGAAAGGCTGTTCCTCTTGCTCTGCCCTCCACAGCAGCTGACAGCCCCCCCTACCCTGTGCTGTTGTCTGGCTCAGTGACTGTGACTTCGAATGTCACCATTGACGTCACCCTGACATTCCTGCCATTCCCAGAGTGATCTGGGAATTGGGATGGAGGCAGGCACACACGTCCAGGGCAGTTACATTCTCTTAGGGGACAGAACAAGGTGGTGTTTAGAACTGTGGTCACCTTCACATCCTTGGACCTAGAATCTTCAGCTCAGCCTCAGACACTCGTGTACTGGCAGTACTCATGTACTAGCATAGGGAGACTGGGAGAATGGGTACATTCTTCTCTCTCTCCAGGGAGAGGGCCAGAGAAAGGCTTGAAGATCTTATGGAAATAGTGAGACCCATGAATCCAGCAAGCAGAAAGCAGGCAAGAGCCCTCGCTTGGCCTCCAGCCAGCTGTGTGGCCCTGGACAGGTCATCACGCCTCTCCTAACCAGGCTCTAGTTTCCTCTTCTGTAACTGGGATAATGATAACATGTTGCGGCTCAGTGCCTGTAGCTCAAACAGCTAGGGTGCCAGCCACATACAATGAAGCTGGTGGGTTCGAACCCAGCCCAGGCCTATCAAACAACAATGACAACTACAACCCAAAAAAAAATAGCTGGGCACTGTGGTGGGCGCCTATAGTCCTAGACACTTGGGAGGCTGAGGCAAGAGAATCACTTAAGCCTAAGATTTGCGGTTGCTATGAGCTATGACACCACGGCACTCTACTGAGGGTGATAAAGTGAGACTCTGTCTCAAAAAAAAAATAACATGTCATGTTCATCTTGTAGGGTTAATGTGAGGATTAAATGAGATATTTATAGATTGTGGCATGATGGGCAAATATAAAATGTAGTTATTGTCTTATTACTTCTGGTCCAGTATGGCAATAGCTATGTTATCTGACTCCCAGTACCAGTAACACCACTAAATGGCTCATTTTCTCCAAGCTGCAGGCAACTTGTCACGTGCCAATCCCCAGCTCATGGCAGAGGGAGCAGGCTGGATGGTTGGTGATTTGTCCTGGTGACTAGGCTTCTCCAGGCTGCCCCCCTTCTATATCCTGGTCCATTGTGGGTCCAGTTTGGGGCAGACAGGGATCTCAGAGTGCTAGACTTGCTGCCTGTGGAGACCACAGATGAGAAAGGGCAGAGAGAGGTTGGACTGCAGAAGAACCTCTTGGCCATTGCAGGGCCTGGAGGCAAAAGCTGCTTTCTAGCTCTTCCCACCAACCTCAGAGACCCATCACTCAGCCCCATCACATGCAGCTTGGAGGCAGGAAACAGACCCAATGATTCAGGAGTGAGGAGTGTTCCCTTCCCCTTATTCTTAAGACATGAAGTTTTTCAGAAAGCTCAGCATCCACACTAAGCCTGAGCATGGCTTTAAGAGGTTCTGGACGATAGGAGTATTGGTATGGGGAAATGACAGGGCTGAGGGGTAGGCCTCTGGTTTTCCTTTTACCCTCATCTCCTTGCTTCTCCAGGGAATGGCTATGTCAGTGCTCGGGCTTCCCCCGGCCTCCTCCCTGTGGCCAATGGCAATAGCCTAAACAAAGTCATCCCTGCCAAGTCTCCGCCCCCACCCACCCATAGCACCCAGCTTGGAGCCCCCAGCCGTAAGCCTGACCTGCGAGTCATCACTTCCCAGGGAGGAAAGGGGTTAATGCATCACTTGGTAAGTGGGTACCTGGGCCAAGGGCAGGTGCTGGGGAATGGGACTGTGGAAGAGGAAAGAGTGGACGTCTAGCAGGAGAGGTAAAGGTCAGCTACCAGTTAGGACTTCTCAAGAAGGATGATGGAAGCATGGCTTTTCATGAACTCTTTCTTCCCAGAGGGCCTTTAAGAGATTATTGGTACATAGGAAGTACCAGAGGAGGGGCAATAAAACATGGGACAGGAGGTAGAAAAGAAGCATCTGTGAGAAGGAGGATAATAGAAAGGGTTTGCCACTATAGGAGGAAAGATGGGGTTAGATTGGGAGGATTTCCTAACTGGTGGAGATGTGGCTATAGCATCTTCTGGAAGTCAGTCAGGACAGTGAAGAGCTCTGTCCTTGTAGGCTGGGGGTAGCCAGTCCTGCTCTTATGCAGAGAGAGAGAGATAGAATGGCTGTGGGGACAGAGTATGGGGGAGGGCAGAGAGGCGAGAGACTGAACATCCACTTGGTTTTATTTCTGCTCTCAGACTGAGGACCATTTAGATCTGGTAAGTGAAGCCGTGAGCTGTCTGCTGTGGCTTTCAGTTATGGGTATTGCTCTGCAAGGCACCAGCATGCAGTGTGTGTGTGCCCATGTTCTCCTGCCCATGTGTGTACTGTGTGCTGTTGGTTATTTGCCAGGAGTTGTGTCCAGTTTCAAGCAGGACACAGAGGTGAATGGGATGCGGGTGAGATGTTAGACATGCATGTGTGTGTGCCTGTGTGCACATGGATGTCTTCATGCGATATTCCATTCACTCAGTCACTTGCCTCTGTGTATCTGTACATGTGGAAGGGGAAGTGGGCAGGCCCCAGCCCTGCTGCCTGGATGAGGCCCTTGGACCAGGGGGTTGGATCCCACTAGTTTTCTATCCACATTTAGGCCCACACAGCATTCCTAGAAGCCAGGTCAGGGCACTCTTTGGGAGTGATGCCAACTGGACAGGAAAGTTGGTTTTTTAGGGGAAGCTGAGGCCTAAGCCAAGACCCTCTTAGGGAGCACTTCCCTGACTGCCTCTGTCTCCTTGTGCGCCCTCCCACACTCAGCCACTTTCTTCTTCCTCTTTTTCTCACACACACACACTCATACTCAGCCAGGAGTGGGGCGGGGGCTCCTCCCTCCCCAGCTCTCTGATGGGAGACCAGAGAGACTGAAAAAGGCAGGCAGGGTTTGGCGGCCAACACAGCGGCAGTTTCGGCCCCAGCGTGGAGTTGGAATAAACAAGTGACTCAGCGGCAGATGGAGCTGACAGCCTCACACACGTGTGTGCATACGCGCAGGCACACGCCACGCCAGCTCCACATTCCCTCAGAGATGCCAGCACACTGTCGCCAGTGCATGTGCTTCAGCATGGTGGACAGAGAGTAGGCTCTGGGGGACCAGGCCACAGGGCAAGTGATAAGCCTTCCTCTTTGCATGTGTGCAGGTGTGAGCGAGTTGTGTGTGCATTTCTCTGTGAAGCCTAGTGTTTCTGTCAACCACCAGTGTAGAAGGGGAGTGTATTATACAGGGGCCTCTGCTAAGGCACCCTTCGTGGCTTTGGGACTCAGGCACCCTCTTGGCCTTAGAATGGAGACCGGCCCACCAGCCCCCTCCTAATAGACAGTTCTCTCCTCCAGAACAGTGCCCAGCGCCTGGGGGCCTCCCAGTCCACCCACTCACTCACCACCCCAGTGGTCTCCGTGGCAACGCCGAGTTTGCTCAGCCAGGGCCTCCCCTTCTCTTCCATGCCCACTGCCTACAACACAGGTAAGCATTCATGTGACATGCACGTGTGTGGACTTGGGCTTGGGGCAGAGAGATGACCAGGGAGGGGACATTAGATATCCTCCAGGTAGGCCTCAGTCTGAGGAAGGCCATTGATTAGAGGTTGCCAGATTTACCAAATAAAAGCATAGAATGCCCAGGGAAGTTTGAATTTCCGATAAAATGATACATTACTTTTTAACATAAGTATGAGTTTTATTTGAAATTCAAATGTAACAGGGCATCCTTTTTTTGTTTTTATTTTTATTTTTTTTGAAATAGAGTCTCACTTTGTTGCCTTCGGTAAAGCCATGGTGTACAGCTTACAGCAACCTCAAACTCTTGGGCTCAAGAGTCTCTTGTCTCAGCCTCTCAAGTAGCTGGGACTATAACACCCAGCTATTTTTAGAGATGAGGTCTTGCTCTGGCTCAGGCTGGTCTGGAACTCATGAACTCAGGCAGTCCCCTTTCCTCTGCCTCCCAGAGTGCTAGGATTACAGGCGGGAGCCACCACACCCAGCTTGGCATCCTTTATTTTTAATAAAGGACCTAATGGAGAAGGGAGACCTTGTCCTCAGGAGGTGGTAAGCAAGACAGGTGGGCTGAGCAGATGGTTCAGTTTTTTTTTTTTTTTTTTTTGAGACAGAGCCTCAAGCTATCTCCCTGGGTAGAGTGCCATG